GAATATCAGATTCATGTCAGGAGGGGAGGTGCATGCAGCCCCCATACAGAAACTATTTCCATTTAGAAGTGGGTGTGATGAGGCCTTGGCATAAGAGTCTGAGAAAGACAAGACACTGAGCAGAACTGAAGAGAAGAAGAGACTGTGTGTGCGTGCATGTGTGTGTGTGTTAGATTAGAAGCTGCTAAGCAGAGAAAATGAGTTCAGAGCTGAGATGTGAGTGGCGGTGGGACTTGACACTGGGAACACAACACTGCTACTGGCAACCAGCTGCCAGTCGACAGCAGGGAGGAATGACGGTACAAGCTGCAGACAGACAGGTGTGTGTACGTATGTGCGTGTGTGCACAGGCTATGGGTATGGGTACAGATAAAAAAGAAAAAGAGAGAGGCTGGACGGACACACACACACACACACACACACACACTTTCCACATTCAGTCATGTCCCAACTGTTTATTATTCCGTCTGTTATTCCATCCTCTTCTCAGCCATCCTGCTGCTTTGGTCAAGAAATATGAAATTGAAATATGAATGGATGGAGGAATAGAAGAAGGGGAACAGCTGACTCAATGCAATTCAATCAGCAGAACTGGCATTGGAGATTGGAGGACCCGGTGAGGTGGCACTAAAGATAGAAACCCCCCCCATCAACCCCAACACCCTTGTGCTCCTCACCCAAACCACGTCCCCCTCATGTTGCTCATGTTTCATCACCAGTCACCTTCAGAGAAAAGAAAGATGGGAAATTCAAATCTACAAACCAAAAATAAAATGAATTTGTTGCATAATAGAACATATTCATTTTAAATAATTTAATGTTGCTTAGTGCAGATGGGAGAATAATCAATATGATCATTCTGTCGGGCATTTTGTACAGTGGCCCTGAGAGCAGAACACGCTGCACAAAGCACATGGAGAAATCAATTCATCAATTTGACAACAAATGCATGGCAAGTAAAAAACACACAGCAAATACTCAAAACCAAATACTCACTACACAACCAATTTACATCACTATCACATACTCACAAAACGACCAACTAACAATACAATACAACCTAATACTCACAACACAGATACACACAAGACACACTTAATATCTCTCATCATCTGTCATTGTTCTCACATTGCAGGTCCTATTTATATTTCAAAATCCCCTCTGCTTTGAATCCATTGTTCGTTGCTGATGATATCATCCTACAGGTCACTAGGCATGTGGAAGGACACCGGGATATGTGTGTGTCAACTAAACTGAAGAGCCTCATGTCAAACCATCTGAAAACAGAATTATTTCAATTAGAAACACACATCAATTCGCAATAATGTTAAAATAACTTGAAGAAACTTGAACAAGCTTGATTCGTTTGTTTATTATCAATTGAATTAATGTTTAAAGTTGAGAAAAAAATCTTTTTTCAGTGAGTGTTTGGTTCTGAAATCTGTTTATGAAACTTTTATTGTTAAATAGTGTCAAACTCAATTAAAACTCTATCACACCACCATCGCCAACTATACCAGTAAAGGATGCATGGAAATACGTGAGCAGTGACGGTGACACCGTTTGAAACAGAAGCATCTCTCTTGTTGAGGCAGAACACCCCAGTACTGACTCAGTACTTCGATAACAAATGATCAACAGTACAGACAGTTGTGAACAACCAAACTTAAAGCCTCTCATCTCATTGGCCCAAACACAGCCACTCCTCCACATTCAGCCCTGCTCACTCCATTCCAGCACTTCTCATCAGGTGTCAGACTTGAACATGCACACATGTGGAAAGAGTCTTCTTACAAATATCTGAGTCTATTTGTGGGTTCTGCAAACTGCCAACAGGATTTTTTTCTGCTCCTGTTCAGGGCCTGTATGTTTGACCTGCAGCAGTTAATCAACTCTGAGCAGACTGGCTGCTCCAATCCTCTTTGAATTGAAGTATTGTGCTAATGTTTTTTTTTAAGAATCCGCTTGAGTTTGAATCACTTATAAATGATCTCATGATAAACTATAAGACAAAGAGCCAACTCCACCCAAACAAACCACATGTTGAACTAATAACAGGTGTCAAAGTTTCCTCGGACCACGGTCTGAACCAACTCACCAAAATTTAGTCCGACCAGAAGAGATGGTTTGGGTCCGGAACAAAACGCCTTCACTCTCTCTGCGCAGGAGCCACGAAGAAACATCCCGAGCTGCGAGATTCAGATCATCAGTGGCTGAAGCTGCCAGTTGTTCCTGGCAACACCCATGTGTGAATGTGTGAATACATGTTACCCACAACTGGTCCCCAAGGCCTTTGCTGTGAATATGAATCTGTTATGAGACTGCATGCCAGCTCCAACAACCTTGACAAAATAATGTATATGTGTATTTATTCATCAGTGACCACACAACTTTAAATGATTTTAAACAGAACAAACCAGCAACTTGGAAAATGTGATAGAAAAATAACATTTTAAATGATGTCAAACGCTTCAAAGCTTTAAAAAACGTCTTTGACATTTTACATCACATGTCATTTAGCTGATGCTTTTATCAAAATTGACTTACGATTACAATTAGTGCATTCAGCATGTTGTGATCACACAATCCTCACACACAGAATGGATCAGAACCATCTTTTCCAAGAAAATATTCTGACGCAGAAAGCAGAAAATAAAACACTCAAAAATCTTTTTAATTCAATATCATGTCATTTATTATGCACGAGGCTCATAAAGGTAAAGTAGTAGTTGACAAATGTCTTGATTTTGGTTTTTGCTCATTCTGCTGATGAGATTCATTATAAATGATTCACACAGTGTTCCAGGTTACATAACTGTCCTTGGTGCCTGTTTCTGCGGGGCAGCTGCAGGGCTCTGGGGCAGTTTGGCTCTGAGGTGCCATTGGGGTGTGGGGGTGGGGTGTGGTGAAGTGCTGGGGGATACTGTGACAGTCTAAACTGGGAAACTGGAACTGTGCCACAATGGCATACAAGCTACAGAACTAACCGGTCTGAATGAACAGACACACACAGCACATATGGCACGTCAGTCAGCATGACCTTTGAGTTTTATTGATGGGAGTTTATGGTAAAGGATGAAATAAAATGGTCACTGAGAGTAATTCACAGTTCAACAGTTCAAGAAAAAGCTTCAAATTAAATGTATGTCTGTGGACGGTCAGGCCCGGTCAGGCCCGGTCAGGCCTGGGTGTTGATTTAGCAAACAAGCTCAGATGACCACAACAGTCACCTGCAACTTTTCAGCCATAGACGAGGCTGTAGTGGGGGTGTTACATCAGTGTAGGCTGTGTGCATGAGTGCACGTATGTGCTACTGCACTTAAATTATTTGGAAAATGTCACACTGTCGTGCCATTCATTTAGCAAGTTTATTACAGTTGGTGAATCACATTTTCTTTCTGGGTGCAGTCAAGTGGCATGTAGACTTGAGTGTTCAAGCATCCACAGGCCTTGTTCAACAAAACAGAGACGTGAGAGTGAAATAACCAACTGGAGGGTTTTCAATGATACAGACCCTTCTTTGGAGAAGGTTTACTTTTTGCTGCACCTGTTCAAGCCCCAAGTTCTGTCACATTCAATGGCACTGCATTCAAACTAGAGAAATAAGCTCTGTCTTGTTTTCGTCTTCAAAACAGGTTTGAATGTTCAAAACACAATTTTACTCTCAACTCACAGTAATTTTCAAAGCACATATTAAAAGAGTTCTTTAGCAGGAAATCAGAAAATACCCTCCTATATACGTTGTTATATTGTTGTAATTTCTTTTTATGTTCTGTCCTTAAATCAGAATATTGCAGACCAGCACAGGGTCTTAAACTTAATATCTTTTATAATAAACTAATTGTAGATATTTTACAGATTTTGACTGATTTAATTGTTGGCTGATTAACTTTTTGCTACAATAATGTTTGTCTTGAGATTTAAGGTGATAATGGAGATTTTGTATTATATCTATTATAATTAATCTCTTGTTATAAACATAAATTATAAAAAGAAAAACGAAAGAGCTGGTATTCAACATGCGTTAGTAAAACACCAAATGTCTGACCTCCTGTTCTCTGTTGTGCTCTGGGAAAACCTGGATCTTTTGTGAGACTGCCGTTTGCGTCACTGTGTCTCTGAGCTCCGTCCCACAATTTCCACACTGTCACATGATGTGCATGTGATTTAATATCTGTCTGCGGATAGATTACCCAGGTCTATCACATTACCAGTGGGGGTAATGACACAGGCACATGTTAAGTTTTACAATTAGAACCAGATCTGAGTCTGGGTGTTATTTTCTGTGAGCCCAAACGATTTTATTAGATACAAAGCAACAATATCCAAAATATTGTGCACCTCAAATATTCACGAATAAAAAAGAGACTGGAACATTTTCTTCAAATGATTTGCCAGAAGTCTTAACAGCCTTTCACTGAGTTTCCTTACATGACAAACCTACACACACAGACGCCTCCACCAAGCGAGGCCCTCAACATGGTTTAGTGAAATTGTAGTCTTGAATATTTGAATATCACTCCGGGGATTAATAAAGTATTTCTGATTCTAATTCTGATACTATAATGACAAAGTGGTAATTTAAACTACTAAATATGATGACAGACAAAAATGTGACTCTGTGATATCGACTCACCAGGGACACGTGTGAAACATGAATGAGAGATTGTGCACAGTACATGAGCAGGCGTGTAAGTCAGTTTCCAAACCCTCAGAGCCAACTGCATCATACACATGAAACGTGGCAAAAAGGAGAAAAAACCTTAATGATATGTTGAATCAAATTCTAATGCACTGAATATACTGGACACAATGTTCATTCCATCTTTAACGTGTTTGCTGCAGGTTCCAGTCAAACAGCTTCAAGTAGGCAGAAGGTGAAAGGTTGGACTGAGCAGCTGCAGCTGTTGCCTGGTCTCTCGTCTCGAGTGTTGTGTGATGTACATTCTTGCCTTTTAGAAACTAACCCGGGGACAGAAGACCCCCTGTGGCCAATCAAACGAGGGTACCCCGAGCGCAGCCAGCCAATAGGGATGGAAGTCGGGGTATAAATGCTCTGGTTCATCACCTGGTAGAGTTGGGCAACCCCTATATTTGGTGGACAGGATCTGATCCCGGGATTTGTTACCTCTTTCTTTTCTCCTAAGCAGGTAAAAAGCAAGCAGATGCTTTAGTCAGCCTTTTTGATAAGTCCATGGAAAAGATTGTGGTGCGTTTTTCATATGAATATGGACAAAAACTTCTTCCTGAAAAGAAAATGGTTCTAAGAGGGGGAAGCGTTTTTAACCAAATATCTGTCATACAGATTACTTCAGTGCATTTTTGTTCTGGATTTCTTTGTGCATTGTTTCCTGATCTGGAAAATCGACTTTATTCGTTCTTCTACCAGTGAAACTTTGGCTTTCATTGATTCATTTCTTCTTCTGAAAGACTTGAAACTTGGTCTCTTGGATGTGGGCAACAGTAGTCGGCTGATAAAACAGTAGCAAAGTGTGTCACTCGTAACTACCAGCTGTTGCTGACGTAAGCAGGGCAGGCAAGAGGTGCATGTTTGAATAGTGTAGGAGCGCTTGATTTAGTCATGGAACATGTGGAGCCATTTGTGAGACACGAAAGCTTTGACCTTTTAGAGCACCAGGTGTCATCGGTCAACTGCACCTCAAGCAACTGACACAACCGAGATTTGACCTCTGTCTGTCAGAGAGAGACGGGCTGACTCAGAAATAGAGAAAGAAAGATGGCTGGTAGTTGTAAATATGTTCCTGAGCCCACACGTCTATTCTGGTCTATTCTGTGGAGTAGTTTGAGTTTAGATCCCAAAATGTATATAACAAGTGCTGAGTGTTGGACGAAGAATGTTCAAGAATATTTTGCTTCTTTCTTCAGACTTTCTCAGTTCATATTAAATCTTAAAGGATAAAGTAGTGATTGAATCAAAAAAAACTTAATTTCAAAATAAAATGAACAAATACATATTTGAGCGTTTGTATTTTTCATTCTATGTTTGTCATTTAAAGGTGAATTGCTTCACGCAAATTTAACCCTGCTACCCTTTGTATTGCACTGTAGTTCAGTCAGAGCTTCAGAGAGAGCGGAGAGAAAACCATTCATCGTAATCTGCTGGACACTGTAGCTCCCTTCAGAGCGGGGCACAGTTACACTATTTATAATCTACGCTGTGAGGAGGGTAGGGGGCTGCAGCACAGGAGGCAGACGACGAGACAGTCAGAGACAGGACAGCTGTCCACAGCATAAGAAAGAAAGAAAGAAAGAAAGGTCAGACAGAATGAGAAGATGTCTCCTCTTCACCAGACGACTCATAGACAAGGCCCTTGAAAATCTTGGTGAAATGCCAGACAAGACGTGTGGTATTTATCAGATCACTGTGTTGACATTTTACGACATTTAACAACTACATTTTCTCTCCAGTAAAACTATATAATTCCTCTTTTTCAGGTCTTAAAGTGACTGAATACGATTACACCAGATCCTCCTCTCTTGTAGAGCAGTCTCATCAAATTGCAGATTCAGAAAATTAACACCTCTTCTCTTTTCGTTGTCTCCTCTCAGACGGAGTAAGAATCGCAGCCATGGCAAAGAACTGTCATAACGACTATAAAATGAAGTTCTCCCTGGACGAGGAGTTCCCCGACTTGTCTCTGCACAACAACCACATGGCCAAGGTACAGATCGGACTCTCATGTACATGTCTGCATGCACAAAACATACAGACACAAGTGCCAGTGGCTTTAGGTATGACATTATAATGTCACTATGCAACCTTGAAGTCATGTAATTGTAAAGTTGCTGACCAGCACTGTGTGTGTGTCACCTGCTGTAGGTGCTGACCAAGGAAATCTATGGCAAGCTGAGGGGAAAGTCCACCCCCAGCGGCTTCACAGTGGATGATGTCATCCAGACTGGTGTTGATAACCCTGGTAAGAAAGAACGAGTCTTCAGCAAAGAGATTAACATCTGCAAAGATTCAGGACACTCGCATTAGCTTTAGCTTCTACTATTAATTGTTAGGATTGTGGATTTGCCTCTGTGCTAGAATCTATTTGTACCTAAATGATAAAGTGACATGAGACTATTTATCATGTTTTTATCAGAAGTTTTCTATTGTCTCCTTATTTTCACACAATAAAATCTTGCGAGCAATGTTACCGTCTTCCTCATCCTCCCTCTTGTTCCAAAGGTCACCCCTTCATCATGACCGTGGGCTGCGTTGCCGGTGATGAGGAGTCCTACGAGTACTTCAAGGAACTGTTGGACCCCATCATCTCCGACCGTCACGGCGGATACAAGCCCACCGACAAGCACAAGACCGACCTGAACTTCGAACACCTGAAGGTTAGAGAGAAGACGAGCATTAAGTGTTGTATAGATCAGCACTGCTTCTTAAAGAAGGAAGGAGCCAATAAGCTTTATTTAATAAATTGAAAATGTTACTGGATATCTTTATGGCCATATCAATTCAAAGTCAAGTTTTTAAGTTCTATTATTAGTTTTATTTATCTTCAACAATTTATTGAGCCTATAAATTCTACAGAAACTGAGAGAAATGTTTACGAACACTTCTTACTACTTCAGATATTTTTGTTTTTGATTAACTTTTGTAAAAGTCGATATATAATTAACTTTTACAAAAGTAAGGTCCACACCACACGGGTGCAATAAGCACATAAGAGATAAAAAACAATGGCTGCAACATAGAGAAAAACAATAATATTCATCTGTTTGTTGTGTTTTTCTCTCCCGTCTTCCCTCAGGGTGGTGATGACCTGGACCCCAACTACGTGCTGTCCAGCCGTGTGCGTACCGGCCGCAGCATCAAGGGATTCACCCTGCCCCCCCACAACAGCCGTGGAGAGCGCAGAGGCATTGAGAAGCTGTCCATTGAGGGTGATTATCAAACTGATGTCAAAGATGCCAATCTGATGCAAACATTTCAAATATCTTTATGACGTAACATGTTTTTGTGCGGGACTGACTCTGTCCTCTGTTCCCTCCTCTCAGCTCTGGCCAGCCTGGACGGTGAGTTCAAGGGAAAGTACTACCCCCTGAACGGCATGACCGAGGCAGAGCAGGATCAGCTGATCAATGATCACTTCCTGTTTGACAAGCCTGTGTCCCCACTGCTGACCTGCGCTGGTATGGCCCGTGACTGGCCCGATGGCAGAGGCATCTGGTGAGAAACACAGACACACAGAGTGGAGAGAAAATCATAAGAGATGATGAAATCAACAGTGAAATCAGATTTTCTGGCTCTATCTAAACACAAGTACACACACAATCATTGAAAACAAAAACTACCAGCCTCTGAGCTTAAACTCCCACGAGGCCTTCTGAGACTTCACCATCTGTCTCTTTACCCCCACAGACCTCAACATAGTATGAAATCCTGATTATGACTGTTTTCAAACATCTGTTAAAGTGTGTCATGAATACACAGTAATCACACACACTGCCCCTTTGCCCCAGTGTGTGTGTGTGTGTGGGGGGGGTTACGTTTTGGCTCATTGTGTCTGGCACAGTTTCTACTAAAATTGGAAATTATATTGCTGCAGCCGTGTGTGATGAAATGACAGATTCTTAGTTTTCTCCTGAATGTAAATCAAGTGAAACTGAGCTGGACTTCCTTCCCCTCAGGCACAACGACAACAAGACCTTCTTGGTCTGGGTGAACGAGGAGGATCACCTGCGTGTCATCTCCATGCAGAAGGGAGGCAACATGAAGGAGGTCTTCAGGCGCTTCTGCGTCGGCCTGCAGAAGGTAACACACAAAACCATCCATGCAACATAAAAAACAATGATACAGAGAGAATCATTCAAGTAGGAACATAAGAGAAGAAGTGATAAAGCTAGTTCACATTCCCAGCAGTTCTATGAACCTTTTTATAGCTGTAAAAAATGCATGTTTGTGTTTTTTCTTATATAATTTAACCCAAATTTTGTCTTCTCTTGAATTTGCTGTGCAGATTGAGGAGATTTTCAAGAAGCACAACCACGGCTTCATGTGGAGCGAGCATCTTGGCTATATCCTGACCTGCCCCTCAAACCTGGGAACTGGCCTGCGCGGTGGCGTGCACGTCAAGCTTGCCAAGCTCTCCACACACCCCAAGTTCGAGGAGATCCTCACCAGGCTACGTCTGCAGAAGCGTGGCACAGGTACTGAAATCAAAGCAACACCGTGGCTCAGTCTTGAAGCTAAGGACAGATTAGTGTTTTTAGAGAAGTTTAGTTTGTACCAGTCACAGTACATTCTTCCTCCACCTCCACTTCCTCCACTGCAGACAGGGGATTTACCGTTCTCTTCCTCTTTTCCCTCCAGGTGGTGTGGACACAGCCTCCGTGGGTGGTGTGTTTGACATCTCCAACGCCGATCGTCTGGGCTCCTCTGAGGTGGATCAGGTCCAGCTGGTGGTTGATGGTGTCAAGCTGATGGTTGAGATGGAAAAGAAGCTGGAGAAGGGAGAGTCCATTGATGGCATGATCCCTGCCCAGAAGTAAAGTGGACAGACAATCATTGTATCTGTGTTTGTTTTTTAAATATAGACTACAAAAAAAAATGAACAGGTAGCCTTGTTGTAAAGTTATTTTACTGGCTAAAGCCAACTGGCTACTTTCTTTTTTCCCGTCACTCCTCTTTTCTTTCTTACTTAACTCAAGTTAATCTCACTCATCTTTTCCACTTTCCTGCTTTTTCTTTCTAAGTTCCTGTAACTTTAACCATCTCTTGCCCCATCTTCTCTGTAACATCCTGGGATCAATCCATGCATAGTCTGGTCGTGGCTATGTATGCGCACCAAAAGAAAAAACCTTTTTTTTTTGGTTGTAAAATATAACTGGACAATTAAACAATGCCCCATGTAACAATCAAAGCTTCTGTCTCATGTTGTCTTTATGGGAAACACACGAATGCATACAGAGCAAAAGTCAAATCAAAATGTTAAATGAGATAAATTCTGCTCATATTCAGGTTGATCGTTTTAATTAGTGGTTTAACTATAAAAGGTTTTCATGCTCTAATGTTCAGAAAACACTTTCCTCAGACTGTCCATTGCTGCAGCTCCTCGTTTCAGCCTCTGTCTCCAACACTTTGTTTTAGCTCCTGTCTCTTTAAGACCCCCCTCCTGATAGAGCTCAGCCTGTTCTGATTGGTCAGCTGGTCCACTCTGTTGTGAGAGGCTTACTTCCTCCAGCGTGTAGGAAATGTTGGCCTCCGCTCGCGCTTTACGTCCTGCTTCCAGACATGCACTGAACTCCGCAGTTCCTCGGTAACTTCACAGAACACAAGCACGGCCTCACCTCGTTGAAGAAACTGCTAAAACTATTCTAGTTCTCGTCCCAGACCTCACCCTTCCACCAAGATTCAATAAAATCTGTTCTATAGTTTTTGTGTAATCCTGGTAAAAGAGAAAACAGCAATGAAAACATAACAACTCCTTGGTGGAGGTAAAAAAAAAAAAAAAAACTAATTTAAAAAGCATTTGTCGAGTTTTCACTGGACACACTCTACAATTCAAAAGCACAAACAAACCTGTGGGACAACACTTCAAATCCATATCCCAGGAAGGAAAAAAGGGCAAAAATATTAAAGTTGAAAGTCTTTATTTTTGTGTCACACATTATTTCTTAGGAGACATGCAGGATTGCAGGTCAATCGTTTCTGTAATTTCAGCCCATAAGTTAAGTTTTGTTTATAACAGCGACAGCTTCAAACACACTATACAAAGCACAGCCCTAACTGTATCTAGAACAGGTTCAGAGAGTGAGGCCCAGTTGTACGCAAAAAAAAAAATCAATTGCAAAAACTAGCCCTAAATCACAGCTTCACATTTTCAGACAGTGGACGTGGCGACAGCTGAAATCTCCCATAAACACGTGAACCTCACAGCCGTAAAGATCACTAGTCATCTGCTGAAGCATCTCACTTTAAGCATTCCATCATTGTTTTGTCGGATGCTGCTACGTCAAAAATGCACATTATGATCTCTTGTTTTTAAAGAAAGATAAGATCGATCAGTGAATCACCTGGCGGACTCTGTGTTTTGGTGAATCTTGTTGATTTGGTTTATGATGAGCAGCAAATAGTGAAGTATACGAATCAAATTTCACAAATTCAAAGTCACATTTTTATGCCACTGCAAATGTTAAATGGTTTTAAATGAAACACTAACTTGATGAGGCAGGAGTCTGATTAGTTAACAGTCATACACCTCTTACAGGAATAATGGCACCTGATTGGTCAACAGTCACACACCTCTCATCAGTGCTGCAGCCTGATTGGTCAACAGAGGGAAAAATCTGTTTAAATATGAAAAGTGGCGACGAGCTGTAAAACACAAATGCGAAAAAATTGAAATCTGACACAACCTTGTGAAGACAGATCTTAACTTTGACGTAAAATATATTTTTAGTTTTCTTGATATGACGACTTCTTTTTAATTTGAAATAGATCTGCTTTTATTTGGGGAATAAATGATGCCAAGAAGTCATTAAGGGTACTTACATGTAAGTTAAAGAAATAAAGGCTTTCAATGTGTAAATGATCAATTTCAATGGGCTTCAAATGTGGGAGTTTTAACAATTTAACAAAAGAAAAATGCAGATGGATTAAAAACACTGCCAGAACAGTGTGATTACATCCCGACTGAAAGAAAAAAAGTGCTTGACGACATATCACAAATATCAAAAATGTAAAAATGAGCCATATTAAGTCTCAATCAATTATTTTTCAATCAAGTCTTAATTCTTGACTTTGGGGCTGTATTGCACTACACCTGAGTGAAGAGACGATGAAGGCATCCTGACAGGTGATACAGTAAAGATATGCTATCTTAAGTGCTACCAGGAGAACTATTCAACGTAGTATGAGTATCAACCAGTATGAGTTTTATTTATTTATTCATTTTAAGTGAAATGTGGGGAAAAGGAGATTACATTTGTGGACCAAAGGAACCAACAAGTCTCTATCTTCATGTTGGATCAGGTTTCATTCATTTTTTGAAATTATATCTGCCTAGAAAATTTGCTTTTTTGTGTCTGAATCATTCAGTGTTAATTTACAATCCCACCAGATAAAAGCTAAGATTAGTCAATAATAAAAGCCACAACATTTTACGGATAGTCAAATTGGAAACTTGTATTTGATGAAAAAGTTTGATTTTTCAGTCTTTGCTGCACAAAAGAACAAAAGCATTCGATATGTGCAAAAAAAAAAAAGTTAATGTTTTGAGCTGATATTAGTTCAATAGAATATTGTTTTTATAATAATTTATCCTTTTCTAGGTAGAATAATGTTAAGTGGCTCTGTTGTCTGTGTACATCCAGATTAAATCAAATAAACACAGAGCTGAGACATCCTGTTGTGATTCCAGGTGGAGATCCAGTTTTTTATAAACTTACAAAATGTTTGTAGTTTCAAATTTTAAAAAGGATTTCTGCCTGTTGAAAACATATTGAGGAACAAATCTTGGGGCCAAGTTCAGCATTTGTAAGACGCGGAGCCAAAGCTCAAATGTTCAGGTTATCAACATTTCAGCTTGGGTTCTGTATCATTAGGCAGCTTTACTCATCTGTAAAATAAACTCGCCTGCAGGGAGGTTTGACCAGAAACGGTGCAAACACCCAACTGAGCGTTAATATGGGCTTTTCCAATGGATGGGCCGAGAGGTGGAGGTTCTTCATTCAGTCTGTCACAAGTCTCTGCAGTTCTGCATGTCTCCCTCTACAGTCTGGAGGTCAGACTGCGGCCCTCACTACATTAAATATGTGGGGGCGGCTTCAGAGGACGACAACAGATGTCAAACTTCTGCCCATTTCAAAAGCGTTAAAGAAAGAAAATAAACTTAATACACAGAAAATCTAAAACATTTCTTTAAATAGCAGCTTTTTAAAAATAAATGCTGACAAATGTGGTACAATAGGAAAAACAACATTAACAACAACTCATCAGTCTCCATCACTCTCAGCAACACCATTCTCATCATCAAATATGAAACCTTGAAAAAAACAACAAAAGAAACAGTTGGACTCCATGGGCTCACATACAATGGAGGTGGTGACATGTTTTAAGCAGGGGTCGTAGGTCACTGACATCTTCAAGGTCAAAGTCATCGTAAGTCTGCCGATGGCGGTCAATCCGTGTCTGTGCAACTGTTTGTCTGGCTGTGATTGGTGGCATCAGAGGAAGGGGGTCTTTGGCGGAGGCGAGGCAGCGCTAGCCGCATCACATGAGGTGGAACCCTGGGAGGAAGAGGAGGCGATGCTCTCTGCCACATTGTTCCTCCTCCTCCTCCTCCATCAACCTGTCCTGTCTGTCATAAGTTCTGCCCCGCCTCCTGTCGCCCTCAGAGCTCCAGCTCCTTGGAAACTTTGGTGGCAATGTCTCTAAAGGCTAACGGTGCCCCCCACAGGCGCTTGAACCTCACACCGCTGCTCTGGCCCAGCCCGCTGGGCAGCTGACAGACCTCGGCCTCAAACGCTACCCGGGCGCCGGCTGCTCCGTGGGTACAGGACAGGAGGAAAGGCCCTGCCAGGTGGACCTGGCAGCCACAGCCCTGCGCTGCCTCACGCAGTGCGAGCACCACCTCGGCCGGGTCGCGGGGGCTCCGCACCTTTACATCCCAGCCGCATCGGGGGGTCCGGGGCTCTGCCGCTTTCTGATGCCCAGATATATGGCGACTGGAAGAGGGGGAAGGGCGATGCAGATGAGAAAGGAGGAGGAAATGTATGAGTGTTAAAAAACAAATTGGACAAAATGAGTTGTTACAGGATGTTTACACAGGGGAGAGAGGGAAGGGTGGGACAGCAACAGAAGGGGGTGAGAGCAGGAGAGAAGATATAAATACAGGAGGATGGATAAAAACATGTTGTGATAAAGGAGTGTGGGTATTTGGTGGATGTGTGAAGAGATAAATGAAGGCAAGAATAAGAATGTTTACAAAGTTGTGTGAGTGCATGAATGGTTTGGGAAAGGAGAGAAAGAAAAAATAAATTAATCACACATTATTTTATTTTGACATTTTGCTACTGAGGTCCACAAAAAAGTGAAATAGTATTTTCTATTTGCTTCCATTACTACACACTGGATTTACAACAAAGGGAAACCTGAAACAAATAAAATAGAATCACACCTAACGACAACTTAACAAGACTTATTATAATTTCTTTCTTTTCTTTACATCAAAGGATCGTCTACCACCGGGAGCCGTGCTCAGCATCTACGTTCACAACACACTCCGTTAGCTAACGTTCCCCAGGTCCTGCTGGTTTACCTGCTGTTTTTAATCTGAGACTGACACTGGACCGGAGCAGCTGAGGCTGAGAGGAAGTACACACAACACCTTTAGCAACACACTGATGAACTGAGACTAAACACCCTGAATCAAGACTGAACAAATCAGAGAACAAGAGTCTATACCTTTGATAATATCTTGGATTCAATAGTTTCAAAAACCTTGAGAAGGATTTTGTTGATTCTTTATAAAGTGTTTTAGCATGAAAAAGAAACCAGAAATAATTGAAAGTGATTTTAAAAAATATATAACTGCTTGTCCATGTTAATTTCTGTTACATGGTGAAACTTTAAGTTTTAATCCAATCAAGGTTTTTAACCATTAATAATTAAGTTGTGTTGTTGTGTGTGAGTGCGATTCTGCAAAGAAGGAAAGGGGATTTTTTTTAAGCAGCCTGATGATGAGTGTTGCTTCAGTTAAGTAACTATGGAGAAATGATTGTTTGAGTGAGATTGTATTTATCATGCTTTATGTGCATTTCTGTATTATACAAACTAAAGAGAAAATTTCAAAGAAAATGTAATTTTAGTTTTGTTATGTGAGTAGTATGCTTCAGATTATAAAGCACAGTGGAAAGAAATTGAATAGAACATGTCTGGGACGGAGTCAAATCATCCAAGGTTAGGTGATAAAGGACTAATTAAAAATTTAATGGATATAGACAATAAGTGGATCAATTTCAAGAATGGCCAGTTACAGGAGATGGGCCAGTCAGGGTCTCTCTTCATACTGTACCTTGTATAATCAGGGGACACTGAGCAACTTCGAGAAACTAAAAGGAGCACATGGCTTGAATAATAGCGATTTTTCGGGTCCGCCACCATGTCAATAATTTTATCACAGAGTAAAAAAAGGAATTTCACAAATGCCTGTTAGAAATATTCATAAATACAGACCATTTACCACTTCAAATAGATAGTGAATTAACTAATGAACACAGTTAAGGACTAAAATAGAAGTCGTTAAGTCCGTAATATAAATAAAGTTTAGACTTATGATACTGATACAAAACAAGATGAAGACACTAACCAAAAGTCATTTCTTTAACATAAACACAAAATATAAACAAACCACATCGATATAGAATAAGAATAATGATCAAAATAGATTCTAAATTAAAAATGATCCTTTGTTGGTCAAACATCAACATTAGTAATCTCAAACCTAGTTTAGCATCTCTCCGTTTACTTATTGGCCAACATATCCATCATCACTGCCTGGATTATTTATAATGTGATGCTGCAGACACAAGCATGTTTTTAGATTATCATTTTCAATGTTCAAATTTAAAAAAAAAAGTAAATTATGACTCACCTTGTGACCGGAGATCTGCTGATTCTCTCAGGTTCGTCTGTGACCCTCAAGAAGAAGACAAATGTATCTGTTAGTAATCGATCAGCCAATAAAGCTAACTCCCAACACTAACCCCGCCCCCTCCACCCATCACTTCCTGTTTTAATGCCACAATCAGCCGCACAGTTCACGTTCAACCACGTCAACGAACAACCACAACACAGAGCATGACAGCTGATCTTCAAACTACAGATGGATCAACCCACAGTCACTACACTGGAACAGTGGATGGGTGTGAAACAACAAAATGTCAACATCACCAGCAAAACAAAAAGTAGTAAAGGAGTAAATTTAAAAAAAAAAAATGTACGTGAAGGGAGTGAATCCACTGTGTGTGTTACAGTGGAGGACATGACTCACACAAATACAAATCTAATGTAAAGAGCTACACAGAACACCTGCCTTTGTTATTATATATATTCTATATTATCACGTGAACGGGGGCAGAGGTGTGGATTTCACCATGAACTGCACTGATATAATTTAGTCTTTTGAAATAAATTGTCAATTCACATCTTTACTTTGTATTTAAGTATAAGTTTTGTCTGGTTTATGATCATTCCTTTCTTGTCCAGGTAAAGAGAGTGAGTAAGCAACATTTTATCTATAAACTGCAGTATGTGTGTCAGACTGAGGCATCTGTATAAAGTCTGAGAGCTGAGAGCGACAGGTGGAGTTTAGGCACCAAGAGAAGGAAGAGTAGAGAGTGAAAAAGGGAGGGAGAGAGTGGAAGAAGTAAAAAGAGAGTCAGAAAGAGAGTGAGGGATGGACAGACAGGACAGCGACAGTATAACAACAATCTGCTTGAATCTTGAGGGAGAGCTGTGTAAGATCCCTGTTTAAGAGAAGGATAAATCCTGGTTATGTAACTAATCCTGAATTAAAGGGGACGGTGACACTGGGTCAGTCAGTCGGGATGAATGGTGCAGGCTAAGATGTTTCTGCCTCTGCAGAGCGCTCAGACATATGCTGCGACCTTTAAATGTCACAAGTTGCACCTTTCTCACCCAGAAATTAGTCTTTACAACCTGAACTCACTTCTGTATTTAATTTTAATTTTTTATTTGCTGTTATCAGTGTTACAAACTGAGAGTTACTTTACTTGCAACACCATCGACCATTATTTCTGCAAACTGTGAATGTTGCCTCGGTGATCACAAAGGGAGGAGCAATTTAACCTAATATGAATCAACACAAAAAACAGTGCCACAATGTCAATGTTTGACCATTTATACATGGAATTAGAAAAGTTTGTCCTTACAAACTAAAACACTACATCACCATTTCTTCATTTTAACAGTGATGGATTTATCAGCTCTCTCTGTCTCTCTCCATCACTACTATTCATCCTTCACCCCCGGCCTCTGCCTTGTACAAAACACCAATAACGCCCCATCCCCCTCTTTCCTGCCCGTCTCGGATCCTCCCAGAGATCCCAGAGCTCTTCAGCAGGACGGCTAATTTGTTAACAACATGGACAAACATATGGTGTTGATTACATGACTCAGACTCAAGGCTGCAATAAATTCACATACTCAGGAAAACACCCAAATAGGCACGGAAGTTAATTCTACAAACAAGATGTGTGTCTGTGTCAATTTTCCTGTACTGACATGAGCTAATAGACAATTTCTCTATCTAGAAATGTTACCATTCACAGCTGCTGTCTCGAAAAAGAAAACAAAAAAAACTGACACAGATATTAAAAAACCATCTAAGAAAACAATAAACTGCCCCCTGTTGATCCAGAATACCAATATTATTATGTGCTTTGCTGGAAGCAGGTGATGGTGCTGCGTCACCTACAGCCTATAATGAGAACTACAGCATTAAGCCCTGCCAGCAGAGACACAAGCAGTCAAGACAGACAGACGGACAGACAGCGGCTGATCAGATTTTCAGTCTTAACATACTATTTAGAGATAAAGCTGCACTAGGGGAAGAAACTAACAAAGTAAACTAAATTAAACTTTTACAGGCAAATTACCGGATGTTTTCTATTCAATTAAATGTAATCATCACAAATAACTGAATCTCAGACTATTATTGATGGAACAAACATGTACATTTAAAAATAAATATACGATGACAATATGTGCTATGGAAAATGTAAAAAAATAAATAAACTGAATTTTTATGTCTAGAGAAATTGAGGGTTTTTTTTCCAGTTCAGTTGCAGATTTCCTGGAGCCAGAAACCTGCAGGCTGAATTTAACTGGACCACTGAACGCATTTCTGCCTGTTGAGAAGCTTCACCTCGGATTAATGTTTGTATAACTCAACTCCAACCTGCAACAGACAGCCAATGAGGAGCAGAGGGGATGATGATGCACTGGCAGGCAGGCAGGCAGACAGTCAGACCGACGGACAGACAGACAGACAGTCAGACAGACAGTCAGACGGACAGACAGACAGACAGACAGTCAGACAGTCAGACAGACAGACAGAAGCAGCCAGAAAACATGGGAAAGGAAGACTTACTAACTGTTTTTGTCCCCTGTGGGAGGGTGCAGCCCGACATGGACTTGTTTGAGCTCTGGCGTTTAGTAGGGTCAAGAGTGACCCTAGGAGCAGAGAGGAAGAAGAGGAGATGGAGAGAGGAATGGTAAAATAACAGCAGAGTCAGAGACATTGAATGAGAGATAAAAGCAAGAGAAAGAAGGGAACACGACATAGAGATGAATGACAAAAAGAAACACAGGTAGAGGAGGCAGAGAAGAACAAATCAAACTGTGAACTGTAGTTCAGGATAAAGAAGGATAGAAGATTGGCAGGTGACCGGCAAGGAAAAGCAAAACTTGTTAAACAATCAAATAAACAAACAAACAAACAGGTAAAGCAACAAGAAGCAGCCAAGAAGAACTGACTGTGAGGGACAAACTTTATGTCCCCTGATCAGCAGACCTGGGTCAAACAGCTTCTCATAATTTTTTCATGATGACAGAAACTGAAAAGTTCAAGTCAAATGGGTCCATTTGAAGTCTTAAAACTTTGAGGAATACAACTGTGGAGTGTCTGCTGCTAATGGAGGCAAGCAGTGGGCAGCCATTGCTTCCAGTAAACTGTGTGGTTCCCAGTGCTAAGTTACCACTCAGAGCTCTATTCTAACAACCTAAGCTCACAAATGCATTTAGGAAGCGAACAAATCCACTTCTGCTGGTTTAACGGGAGAAAAAGGTCACTGCAGCACATGGCTTAAAAGAGTACTTAGTCTCTTAATTAATTAATGGATGTGTTTCAGGTAGCGTCCAATAAACAATCAGAGTGCCATCTCCCATTCAAGGGTGTAGATCTAGATGCATGTGACTATCTTTATAATGAGACTTAAAATCATAGTGAAATGTTTTTCCACTAAGAGAGCAACATGCTGACAATACCTTTCACCACACCTCATTTTAATAACAAGAGCTCAGATGGGTGCAAATTCAGTTATTTACACAATGTGGACACGGGACAGGAAAATGACAACCACATCAGTCAACTAGAAAAGACATGCTGCTTTCTGCTGGGTGTAAGATTGAGCCCTCTGTGTGACTTTGTAACATCAGAAAGTGTCTTTTGTTAAATTAAAATTTCTGTTGAAAATACGTTTTTTTTAAATTACGGTTGAGTAGAATCAGTTTTGTAATCAATGCTGTCTGTCTTTGTTTCTGAGAGAAACCACATGAAGGACAACATCTGTAGTGTGATCCAGATTTATACACCGTTGACTCATCTGGTATGAAATTACAGCTGCTGGTAGACACAAAGAAATTATTAAAAACTATTAGACCCAGGTCTGAGATGAATAACAGAGTCTTCTGAAAAGCTTAAAATTAGAGAAGGAACGCTGGTAGGTTAGTACTTGTTAGGGAAGAGACGGTGAGAGGCAGCATGGTTAGCTAAATGTTACAAGCCTGTTAACATACAATCTGCCATCACTTCAACACAATTGCATGATGAATTGATTTGGGATAATAATAATCTTTAGTATCATATACAACCCTTGACAATACGTGCAAAGGTCTGAATGAGCCATGAACTGTTAAACTTAATTTATCATCTGTTTCTTTATTTCTACCAGTTATCCTCTTTCCATTTTCACCTTTAGTCTTCAATAACAAAAAGCAAAACTCATTTATTTTCATGCGAATCTATCAACTGAGGTGATAAGGAAACCTTTCTTCCCGACTTATTCTCCCAGCTTCTCCCCTTACCTGCGGGTCAACCTGGAGGTTAACTTGCTCAGCAGGTTGCCTGTTGCCCGGGTCCTGGCATGGGGGAGTGGGCTGGCATCGTGGGATGGAGTGGGAGATGCTGGGGGAGCATGAGAGGGAGGACGACGGTCCCTGATCTGCCCTCCATGGAAAGTGCTCCTCACCGTGGATCCCCTGGAAAGGCGGGAGGAGGGTGTTGAGGATGAAGAGGAGGCCCCAGAGGCGCCCGCGATGCTGTGGGAGGAGGGGGAAGCAGGGGGAAGGCGGTGGGATAAGGTACTGGTGTGTTAAAGAGGGTAGGGAGGAGAGGAAAAGGAGAGAAACAGAGAGTGGTGAGTTGCAAACAAAATTATTTCGATCTCTGCAAATGTTAGAACTGTGCAGAAATTTTACTGTGTGGTTTTTTTTGTGTTTTGGAGGAATTGTGTTATTTGATTTTAAGATTACAAACAAGTTCTCTAAGAGCATTTAAGTATTTTTATCACTTTTATGGTCTGAAACTGGATTTATTGAAGCTGCAGAAACACTAAAAGAAAGGAAATGTAAGAGTGAGAGAGCAGCTCCTCACATCATGGGCACCAGTTCTCATTTAAATAAACTGACCCTAAATACTCTCTCTCACCCCACTGAGCTCTCTCATCTTCCTGCATGCCCTCCTACCTCTCGTCCATTCCTGTTCTCTTCATCCAACACTCACATTTACCTCTGCGCGCACACACACACAGACACACGTACACACACAGACACACACACACAAAAACCACCATCCCTGACTCTCTGGCTGGTGGCCTGAGGCTGCTTTTCATAACGCTCCAGATAACACCCACACACAGGGTTCAAGTGGGGCAGACCATTAGATGGGTTAAGTTGAAGCACAGCCGTTGCAGAGCAAAATCATTCAATGTCAGAGTGAACGAGCTGCCTGTTGCAGTCCCACCTCCAAACACTGTACCCCCCCCCCCTCGAAAAAAGGTTTCAGTCGGTAGGCAGAGGGAGGAGAAGAGAACAGAGGAGTAGATGAAGCAAAGAGTAGAAAAAATGGTAGAGATGTGATTAGAGTATGCCTGTACATAATCAGTGCAATCTAACCTCTATGTTGTTCATAGCTGTAAATTGTTATCAAACATAACTCTGCAAGTGTGTGAGTGTGTGTCCATGCACGTGTTTGTTGTCTCAACCGCACAGGGCTTCACTGGCACAGTGCCAGACGTCACTTCATCCTGCTGCTCTCAAATGTTCACCTCCCCCTTTTCTACCACCTGTTCCATCACAAGATGGAGCTGAGACGGAGAATGATGGTAAATTCTAAGGCCTGAATGTAGCAGTGTCAGGTAGATCTCTGCTCAAAGAGTGAAATCCAAACCCCTCTTCAACATTATTGTGCCATCCAGAGCACTGTGAGGTTTTCTCTTTGCTTTATCTTAAAAAGTATCATGAAAAACATGATAAACATATTAAACGTGAGTACGTTTTGTGCATTTTACTCACAGGCATTTTTCCACAACAACAATAACCAATACTTTATTCTTGCTGCTACTTCAACATTTCAAAACTCTTAAAGCTTCTTTTATTTTATTCCAAGATCTTATAGCCTTAGTCCTGAAATGTTTTAAACCTCTTTCATCCACATAAAGCTCTATAATGTTGTATAGTTTTTGTGCAGCTAGTATTAAATAAGTTCTGTAAAAATAACTTACAATATTTTGCACAACCGCTCATTCACATTCTTCTTTTTTACCTTCAATTAAGTTTAACTCTATATTTAAAAAACTCTCCTCGTCTTTGTCTATTCAATACACCATCTACCTGAGGTAACCTCTGCCCCCACCTCCCAATCTGTGCAGGAAAATGTTACTGGAGGTCAGACAGCAGAAAGTAAGAGACTGACCAAAGGAAGGGGAGGGGGGGGTTGTGTATGCAATGGTCTGAAACTGACAAGCAGACAACCATCTGTCACAACAACAGACAGTTCATACTGGGCACATAAAAACACTCACACAAGCCCACTCATGCACAGTTTAAGCCCTTTATCCCGTCTTGAAGAGACAAAATGTCTGTGAGATGCTCTCTAGGCTCTGTCTAATAAAATAGAAGCTGTGTGCAACCAGTCTTTATAAACCAGCATGTAATAATACACTGTACTCTCTATAAATATGGATATATTAAAAAAATTCTCATAACTTCAGCCAGAAATCGTAATTGCACAATAAAGTGAACCCTTATCCTCTGTCTTGAAGAAACTTTCAGCACAGGTACAGAGCTGTGATAGGTTGGTGTTCTCAAACTGGTCAAATATTATGATACATGCCATTGACCAAAACAGCTTTCTGTTGGGATTTTATCGTGAAACAATCACACAGACACCTCTTACCTGTTTTCCTTGCCGTTTTGCAGCAGTGTGTGTCTGTCAGTGCTGGATCGGTCCGTACAAACGTACGTGTTTCTTCTAGTCATGGCACTAGCAGGGATGTTATTCTGGAGAAAGGAATCAGAAACCCCAAATCACATGAATTTGCTAATGAATAAAACTATGTCCTGAATATCTGTGAATGTTCTGTTTTATCTCGATGTGGCGGATGAGTGTGGTTCACGTCCGCGACAGAAATATATTTTGCCTTACTGTGATTTACTTGAAAACACTGACTTCCTGTCTCGACTGCTTGACCTCAGACAGTTCTGCTGCTCAGATCATTGAAGAGTTAATTTCAGGTTAATCTGACTTCGGTCTTGAACTCTTCACATTCCCTCGACTTTCTCTCTTAATGATACCAACAACCACAATCTCTGTCTTCTCCTAGAAGAATCTATGGTTTGTTATTTGTCTCAAGCTTTGAAAATGTTTTTCTATTCAGCTTTTCTCTAATCTGTGGAGGATGTTAATATTTGCCGTCTTCATAATATCTGTGTCAGTGTAGCCTCAGTGTGCCGTAATCCGAGGAAATGGGATTAGGAGGACTGTGAGGATCTGTGCCATCTGTACACTGGATGATTCATCACACCCATAGAATACTTACCGTGGTTGAGTTCACTTCCTTGCGCCGGTCAGGTATCTCTGCCTTATTTGGGTTGTGAGCAGAGCTTACCATGGGACTAGAGGGGGTGGGGATGCTACGGGAGCAGACAGTATTGGTGCTCGGCTTGCGTATTGAGAGTCGCTCCTCTTTGAGTCCCGCCCCTTCGCCGACACCACTGGGACTCTGCTTGGGGTGCGTGGACCCTGGAACCGCTGGACCACCTGAGAGGAAAGGACTACTTAGTTGCCAAGATTTCAGAAATCAAACTCATCATGCTGACCTCACTATGTAATTGGCCTCACAGAAGTCAGAATGTCGTCTCTGGCGGTGGTACGTCGAGGCGCTGCGCTGCGCCTTGTGACCAGAGGATGAAGAAGGTGCACCAGAGGAGGAAGAGGAAGTGGAGTGTTTGCTTGTTCCATTGGTGATGGTGCTGGGCCGGACTCGAGCGAGACTCAGACTGCTGCCCGACCGAGACTCATTGCCATCAGTCTGAGATACAAACAGACAGACACAGATAGAAGATTTAAAACTACAGTATAAATAGACCCAGGTTTTATTATAATTGTGAGACATATTGAGGACGGATTGTGATGTAATTTTTTTTGGGCTGATCCATAAATAAATCAATAAGAATTGCAGACACCAACAACAGCTTTTGTACTCAGACAGATTTAACTGTTGATTTCTTAATTTAGTGATAACTTTCTTTACATAATCATAACCCTGGCTAAAAATAAAAACTACCCTCTAGAAGTTGTCACCACAACACGTCGTTCATGTAAGTTACCTGATTACAGAAGGTGTAAAAACAAACAACAACACTCACCTCATTCTTGCGCCCCAGCAGCAGGTATGTGGCGGTGACCTCGTTGTATTTCTGACTAGACAGAGAATCTCTGATCTCGTCTCTGGTGAAGCCCATCCCCACCATCACATCTGGAACGAGACCAATTCAATTTGAAACAGCTATTTAACAGTTTACACAAGTGATGCAGGTTGAGCTTCTAATTAACTAGAATGTATTTATGAAGGGTTCAACCACAGTGCTAAACAGTAAAAGCTGTGCGTTACTCACCAATGCGACCGTTATCATTGAAGTCCTCCACAGGCTCTGTGTGGGGCTTCAGCTCCTCGCTGTCATACCCTACATTGATCCACTTATCTTTCATTATTTGCTGGTTAGGAAAGAGAAGAAGAGAAAGAGGTTTAAACAAATGCAGTATAAACACAGAAGAATGTTTTTCCTTTTTTACTTCATTTACTGATTAATCTACTGTGTGTGCCATTGCTCAGCTTTGTGTTTTATTTGTTATTGGTGTCTTTGTGTGTACTGTATGAGTCTCTCGGTTGTGTTGTTGTGAAGTTCACTTCTTACCTCCAGCGAGCAGCGTTTGGTAGGGTTTAGGACCAGGAAGCGGCGCAGGATACCTTCACAGTCTGTGGACATGTAGAAGGGCACACGGTATTTCCCCCTCAAAACACGCTCCCGCAGCTCCTGAACACAAAACACATTCATACAGAGACAGTTTCAAATTGAGAGACACTGAATCTGCCAGATTTTCTTATCATATATGATAAATAAAACTATGTGGTAGGAAAATATCAGAGTTTAAATTTAAGAACATTTAGGTGACTGTATTTAAAATAAATCTTGTCCATTGATTTTCTTGTGTATCATCAAAACAAGTTATTTATTGATTTCTTCTTTCCAAACACAAAAAAAAAAATCACTACATGGGAGCTTGAGAACAATGTCACTTCACGTGACATTATATGGAAGCAACAGTCACGTCACCCACCTTTAGGTTCTGTCCATCAAAGGGCAATGACCCACTGACCAGCGTGTATAAGATGACGCCCAGGCTCCAGATGTCCACCTCTGGACCATCATACTTCTTACCCTGGAAGAGCTCTGGGGCAGCGTAGGGCGGAGAACCACAGAACGTGTCCAGTTTACTGCCTGCAGTGAACTCGTTACTGAAGCCGAAGTCGGCTATTTTAATGTTGGAGTCTGCGTCTAGCAGCAAGTTCTCCGCCTGCAGGGAACAACACAGACAGAGAAACACATGACAAGCAGGAAAATAAACTGAAGAAAAAACAGGAAAACTACAAGCATGTGTTTTTACTGAAAAGCTCATTTGCAACTTGAGGCCCATAGCTTCCATCAGTGATGTCATACTGTTTTTATCTACATCAACCTATT